CTGGAACACTGTCCAAAACTGTTGTCCAGTCCCTTGGTATTGTCACAGATGTTGGAAGGAACAAACTGTGGAGAGGAAGGAGAGTGGACAAAGACCCTAAGCGTAGTGGCAGAACAAGGGTTTAGCCCGGGCTCAGCAGGTCAGGGGTCATATAGAAACCAATGCCCTCAGGCAGCGGACATGGGGCGACCTGGTGCTAGGCGGGTCTTAGGACATCCAAAGGTCAATGCTGAGCAAAGGTGAATGAGTGACCCGGAAATATACAGAGAGAGAGACACCGGAAGGACAGCAAAGGACAGGAAACTAGGGACAGGACAGAGAAGGAGCGACAGGTATACTTAGATTTTCAGAAGCTCTTCAAATTTTAAGGAACTCTGTAATTGCAGATGTTAGGCATTCAGGGTAATCCATGCTCTTGGGTTAAGAGCTGATTAGTGGACAGGAAGAAGAGGTTAGGAATATGGTGTAAAAGCTCAAATTTAGGCTCTGGAATAGGATCACCACTCTTCCTAATTATATCAGAAATATCAAAGATATAAATTCTGGAATAGTTATCAAACCAGAAGGATTTGTGAACTTTATTGAAGCTGTGTAAGAAATTCAAAAAGATTTACTTTTAGATTAAGAACAGGGTTCCTCATTAAGACCCGGGCCAGCACTTGACAGAAGACATTTAATGTAGACAAGCACAAGGTGTTTCATGCAGGCAGGTTAGATTAAAGAGGTTACTTATAAAGACATCGTTTCTCTTGATCCAGATGAAGATATAGAGTTAAAAGTTTGGAAATGAAATTAAGGGGTGGTATGCTGAAAATGTATAATGCACAAGTCAAACGTCATTTACAAGATACAAGAATAATACTGCTTCTGTGGAGACAATCCAGATAAGAGCAATGAGCTGCCTTCCTGGGCTCTACAGAATGTCCTGTTCAGACTTAAATAATTACACTTCTCTCTGCTTGGACCAGAAAGGTAATGAATAAGACAATTCAAGGATTTACACAAATGCAGACTATGGGAAAATGCATTTAAATGTGCACTTTAAATTGTAGTACAGGAGGCATCTTTACAAAAATGTTTGCAAGAGGAGGACTCAAGCTCCCCAGTCATCTTGTTAAAGCTGATACACTAACTTCTTTCCAACAATGGCTGGATGAGATTCCTTGATCCTTGATCAAGTAGCTACTGAAATACTACACAGACAGGAGGGTCTGAATGGTGTCCTTGTCCTTATAAATCACAGGTGTTCTTTCTCTCCTGCCTTCTGTCTGGACACCAGATTTAAAGCAAATGGAGGGATTAGAGATGGTTACTGTCCGATACAAAAAGCAGAGCACCATCAGGTCTTTGAAATGTGTGTGGCTATGATGTCCTAAATGGCTGAGTTTATGACACTTGATGTGGAATAATTCCAGTTAATCCGAGAAAAAATAATTCAAGGGCTTTACAAGTTCGAAGAAACAAAAGCTTGCCATACCTTTCTCTGTGATAGAAAAGCCATTGGGACTCTTTCTTCTCTTCTTCTGCAGTTTTGCAGTCTTCCAATTGGCTTATGAGTTGAAAGCAACTGACCATCCCTTTATATATAGTGTCTACATCACAGGAATGAAGGGGGCAGCAGCTGGGTTTCTTGTTTTCCAGTCAACAGTCCCAAGTTATCCTGGGATAAAGAGGAAATTCCCATAACTGATGAATTCGAGGTAGAGTGTGCCTCACTGCATGCTCTTTTCATTCAGCCCTCGAGATTTTGAAAGCACCTGTGTGGTGACACCTCTGTTAGTCAGAAGCAAAATGGATTGAGAAACTAGCTAATTCACACAGTGTCGAGGAGCATCGGGTTACAATATTTACTCCAAAAAGCTTGAGAGGGTGCCAATTTCCAGAGCCACCAATTATCGCATCTGCCCTGCAACAGGACATAATTATGATTTGCATAGGAGTTATTAATTGCATCTTTTGCTTTATAGATTATATTAATCACTCACATAGTCCCTGTACCCATTTTTATTACCCTTCTACACATTATACTTTTGAGAACGTTTCTGGAAGATGAAGACACCTCTTAGGACAATGTTTCATAGTCCTAATTACAGAGGAGAGTCAAATCCTTTGACTGAACTCTTTGTTTAGAAAGACATTTTAATTTAACAATTTTCATAATCCTCAAGGTAATCCAGCTGTTTGAGTGGGGTTACTTCTGTGTTGAGCTCTGGGTTTTAGAACATTCCTTAGTAATGTGTCCTGTTTCAGTGACAGGGTTTTTGCAATTTCAGCTGTCTAACAACTGCCACATTATCATAAGTGTGTATTGCAAAATATGGTTTAATTGTTTACTTACAGGCTAGAGCAATTTGTCATTAAGAGCAACAGTTCCATGCAAATTGTGTTACTCTTGTGGCAGTATCAATATGACATTTGTCCACAACATGGAAAAATGTGTATGTGAATTAAATTAAAGCAAAAGGGGTTTTATTTAGCCAGCTCAAGGAAAGCCCCAATCCACTCACTCTTATAGATCATCTGTTTCTAAAGATTAGTAGAAATAAACAAGACTTCTGTTCAATTATCAGAACTCTGCCTTTGAAGGCTCATGGGGTTTGGTATGAGGTCACAAAGGATTATCATCACCGCAGTGTGGTGGCTCTGTGACTCAGGACCTGCAGCTGTGGCTGGAAGGTTGCCAGTTCGTATCCCGCGGCCGGCAGAGGAATCCTACTCCGTTGGACCCCTGAGCAAGGCCCTTAACTCCAACTGCTCCAGGGGCGCCGTATAAATGGCTGACCCTGCGCTCTGACCCCCAGCTTCTCTCCCTGTCTGTGTGTCTCATGATGAGCAAGCAGGGGTATGTGAAAAGACAAATTCCTAATACAAGAAATTGTATATGGCCAATAAAGTGATCTTATTAAAATTACTGTTCTTTTGTCCTTAGAAAGTGGCGAGTTATAGAAGTTGCTGAATTGGGGCTCTACAAGGGGAGAGGATGGAGATCCCCTGATTTAGACTTCGAGATTGAACATTGTTCATGTTGACGTTATGCAGCTCAGATGAGTTGCCAGACCCTGTTTTGGATCACGGTATTGGGTTTTTAGGGGATGTGTGCAGTGTGTGGCAGGAGGAATTGACTGAAAGTCAAACATCTGGTCCCAAGCAATTGACATCATTTGCAATTGTTAAAATTGTGTAGCAAAGCATGTGCATGAGTACATTCATTCATATTGAAGCCTAATGGTAAATATATTGCATATTTGAGGCGATCAGAAGTAATTTAGATGGAGTTATACAAATTTACGATATACATTAGTTTTATCTGCAGAAGGACGTTTGCAAGTCTGTCTTGTTTATAGCTATATTGTTTATACACTGTATATTTTCTGTTCCCGCAGCACAGTTACACGTCTGGAGTCTAAAAATGTAAATGTGCCATGTTTTATAAAATTAACTTATCAATATAAGCTAAACAAACAGCCATTATTCGCCGTATCGTCCAGGCGCGATTAAAAGCAACATCTCAAAAGTATCCAAGTATTCGTGAAGTTGGTAACAATTGCTGAGGGGAAAAGGAACTTGCTGTCAGAGAATCTGCTGATCATTTCAAAATACCCACACCACGCAAAAAACTAAAAGAATCGAATTGGATTATATTTGATATTTTACTGTAAAATCAAGGAGCTGAACTCGTCGTGACCCGGAAGTGTATCAGCCAAGTCGTGGGTGTCATGGCGGCTTCCAGTATCTTCATAACCCGACTCCTGCTCTCTTCTGTAAGGTTTTGTTTGTACTATTACTGTATAATTCTAACTACTGTAGTGGCTTTGAGCGTCACTAGAATTATCTCGATTACCTTATTTATTGGTAAAATTTAATTTTCAGCTGTGAAGGAACTAATTTAGAAAGTGAAGATTCTGAAGCGAAAATTTAAGTTAGAATAGCGCAGTTTTTTATTATGTATACCATAGGACGTTTGACGTTGTTAATCTGCTTTCAGTCTAAATTTAGGCTTTTATTAATTATATTATCATCTGTGTAAGTCAGATTACACCAGAGTATTCATAAAATCATACTAATAATACAATATTCAATACTGATCAAAATTAGCCGTAGGAATCAACTTGTGATTTGTTTTTTGAATGTTGATTTGTAGGGTGTTCAATTATAACTGTGTTCAGGTCCGCCTCGGCCTATTATGAAACGTCTTCTTAATAAGTTTCAAGTTTCAAGTATGTCGTTCTTACAGTAGCAGCAGACACTGTTAGCTGATGTGAGATCGTTTTTTCTTCAGTCGCAGTGAGTAATAACTGGCCTCCAAGAGTTATCCGATTGTCTGCGTACGAAGTCGAACCTGCGACTCTCCATCTGCAATCCCGAAATGAAGACTGTCTTGATGGTAGCTGAGAAGCCCTCTTTGGCTCAGTCTATAGCGAAGATCCTTTCAAAAGGTGGGTCAATACCTCTGAGGAGGAGCACAGTGTCTGTACTGTTTCTTTCTCCCTTGGCATATGTGATATCATCAAGCTCAATGTTCGCTTACATAGACCAGTGTCACATTTATCTGAGGTCCTCATTGTGTTGAGAATGTAAAGAGCCTTAGAAAACCTGCTAGCCCCTCTCTCTCAAGGGCCAGAGCTGTGCACGTATGGACTAGTGTCTCCTGGGTTTTGTTTAGACCTGAGCGGTTAATAAAACAATCTAAATGATTTTTGAGTCATGTATAGGATGCCTCTTGAAGTCTTTTAACAATTGGTTACTCAAGGGATTCACATCATTTGCAGTCCCCTCTGAGTCCCGCCCTGGCTAGGAGTATTACTGTCCTGAAGTTACATACACTATGTAGTTGAGAGCCCAGGTTTAATGAAAAGGAGAAGAGACTGAACCCTCTTTTCGGAACTGGTTTGGGACTCCTACTTTAAATCTTGATGGAGTTGTTCTATTTCCTTTATATGCATACATTCGAGATGTAGTTTACAGTTTTAGCTATATGATGTGTTTGGTTTGTTCATTTATCCTGCGTTTTATAGCTGTGGTTTGGCTTAGTTTTGATGGTCCCGGATAAAATATATGAATTGTAAGTCTCACAAAAGCAGCCAGTGTATTTTAAATGATCAGTCAGGACACACATACACAGTTAATGTTATTCATTTTATTTTAGGATCCAACATTGAAGGCAACATTAAGCAAAACCATTAGAAAAGATAGTAACATGTTGAAAACATGACTTAGCTTACATTTTCTGACATATTCACTGTTTGTTCTGGCATTCGTGTTTAAATGGCAACTGCCATCACTTTTCTGGATTATTGCTAGATGTCTCGAATGCATATCTACCCTTTGTCACTGCTATTTCACCTTTACAGGAGATCTTATCCACGGACAATTTCTGGACTTTCAGAGTAGGCTAAACTCCGAAGGTGCTGTCCCAAACCAAATAGATTTAGCCCATTCTGACTTTGCAACTCTAAGGAAAAAAATGAAAAGCTGTTGTGACTCTGTAAAGGAATAAGAGACAGCACCTCTCCCTCTTTCTTTTGAGCTTCGACAGCCAGAATTTTACGTAACTCACCTTAAATATACCTGAATACCTCAGCTAAATATAGGTGTGTATTCATGTATTCTTCTTTCATTCTAAAAGTGTTAAGCGCATTAAGTTGTATTCAACATGTACCATTTTGCTTGTGGTCCGTGGAGTGTATTGGTTCTGTATGGATTGATAAAGTAGAATGGAAACATTAACCACTTTTTTTCCTTCCTTTTGCTTTGCCTTCAAGAGGCAATCAGTTTCCAGCATCAAAACATATAATGTCCACATATTAACATTCTAAGTTGTGCAAGCTTTGTGAACATTGGTAAAGTGCATTTTTTTAACTTTTTAAAGTATCTTTTTATTCTTAGTTAGGCTCGTATTAGTCAAGCTTACTGCTGTCTGGCTGTGGCACATATACAGGCTATCCTAATCGTTTCCTGCTCCACTGAATAGCTGGCACACTTGTCTTTTTTCTTAAGCACAGGGATTGTGATGGAAAGGGGGATGCTTTCTAAACTGGAGGCGCTGTCCTTCACTTTCTCACAGTTGTGACTGGAAGTGCAGTGGGCTTCGTGGATAACCTGGGGTATCCGGTTCACGTCCATCTTCACCCTGCAAAATAAAATGAACAGTGCTCGCCATCAGTTTGCTCGTGGTACACAGATGCACCAGAACAAAAATCTGCAACCCCAAGGTCTGGGTTTTGCCACAGGGAAAACTTCAGAAGTGCTGTGATTTTAACAAAATTGTTGATGAACTGCCAAAGGCCTGGAAGTTGAAAGGAGAGAATGCAGTAACTGTATCGACAATGACGCTTCATAAGTTAAGACTCTCTGATGTGCCTGGCTTCCAAATGAACTTTTGCACACAGCTGTGCGTTTTTACTGGAACTGCCTGCGTGAAGCACCTTGCTTTAGAGTACAGCAGCAGTTCCTATTGATCCAAATCCCTCCAGCACTGTTAGTATATAGGTCCAACACAACTACACCCATCAGCTGACTGACGTGTGTGTCGCTTGCTAAATGAGATTTCTGAGGGCTTGTCTCAAGACTTCAGTTATTGTTAACAACACAAACGTCTTGTCTGTACAGATATAAAAAAACTTTCTGACAAGTATTGAGGGAAGTCATTTTGTGCAACTTTGATCTTTCCAAGTCAGGTCATCAATATTTTCCATGTATGTTTAACTACCACATTGCATTCTGCAGGATAGAGCTTCACTAAATGGAAGTTTGTGCTGTTATCCATCAGTTTTACACCCGATGTCATGCATGATTTCACTAAAATATTACATTCTGTACAAAACATTAAAACAGTTAAATGATCCTTAAGCCGTTGCTGTGATTAGACATGGTTTCGATGGTAAATCTAGCTAGCAATACACTGATGTCAAGGTGAAACATGAGGAATCATAGCTGAAAAACATGAGGTGTACTTACACATAGTTCCAGGGTGCCACACTCCGCTCATAGAGCCTGTCGGGCATGTCGATGATCTGGAAATCAAACTGGTCTAGAATGCCTGAGCAGAGCACAGAGGACTGATTCTGTGTATTTTCCTCGCACCTCACTGGATTGCTGCTGCCGCTGGGACTTAAAATCAGCATGGCGAGACAGCAGGCTTGGAGGAACTGGAAGAAAAGCAGTGTGCTTAGAAGCATCTTACTCCTAGTAGCCATAAGATGGCTGCTTCTAGAATGCGTGTTGCAATGCATTGGACTATAAAAATATATATGTTTGTGCTACCCTAGGGTGTGCAGGATTAACGAAAAATAATTTAAAGTAAAACATTGGAGTCTGAACAGTATTGGAGTTTTGCTCATTTGAATTATAAAGAAAACATTGCTTTTCATAGTGTTTTACTATACATTGAAATTGCTCTTCAAAGAAGGTAAATATTCCTATATTTACAGGTAACGGTGAGGTATAGCCTAATTACTTTTCTTTTTTGACATACAGAGTGTTAGGTAAGTCTTTTTAGCCACCAATATGCAAGTTGTTTGGAGGTTTATGTTCTTTTGCCAGAGAAGCAGGACATACAGGTATCAGAAATCCCAATCGCACAGTTTCTCCATTATGTGGTTTTGCATTTGCTGATGAGAACATAGCATGAATCTTTCAAAACAGTCATTCATAAAAAGAGAGGAGAAGGCTTTGCTCCAGTCTGAAATGCAGAATTAAAAAATCATTACATTTTTTTGCTCATAAATTGACAACCATAAGATTAACACTGTTATAAAATGTTAACAGATAGATCGGCCAGGAGCATTTGCAGCCTAAACTCTTTTGGTTAGCAATCCTACCGCCTTCAAAGCAAAGCAAAAATATCCTTACCTTTTTGTGAAACATTTTGTTTGCCACGATGATTCTGGATCCACTGAGATGGGACTTGTGAGGGATTTGCCCTTTTTGAAGCTTACTGTCTCCATCGTTGGAGCTGCCCTATTTATGTGTGAAAAGCTGAATGAAACAGCTAATGGAGAGGCTGAAAGAACGTCACTGGAGGACCTCAGTAGCTCTTCACAATAAAGAGTTTTATTAATGCTGGTAGCCTTGGGAAGCCGTTAGTAAGCCACGTCATGTCAGAAGTCTCTTAGGTATAGAACTGTTTGCAAAAATTATAGCCACTAATAAAGCAGAAATAGCCCATGTGAATGCCTCTGATTTTCCAAGTGCATTGCTCTTGAAAGATGAGTCAAAATCGTTATCCATGTAGTCCAAGCACAAATTGTGCAAAGTGCACTGCCAACTTTTTGCATTATGTTTAAAATAATAGGTCTTATCTAGATGAAGTGTTCAGTCTCTTTTTGAATTTATTCTTTAACTGATTGATAATCTTTCCCCATGATGAAGAGTTGCAGCATAATTCTGAAGATAGATTAAGAAGAAGAGACCAAGCAGGCCTGTAGCCTCATCAGTCTTCAGCAGGCAGGATATGAATCTCTTTTGAAGACTTAGCCTCTTGAACTGTCTGAAGCTTGCTGTTCATCGATAATACTGAAAACAAATAAAAGTATAGTAGAGTATTCCCGACTGTTTTAGTCCTTAAGTCCTAGAGTCTTTGCTCTTTTTATTGACATTTGCAACCTTATAGAAATTACTTCCTGGTGAACCAAGAAACCTCTTTTGTACATGACAGTCTCTCTTATAGCAGTATTTCATTAACAAGTCATGAATGGTCTAACAGCAGCGAAGGGCAGCCCAGGATAACGGGCAGCTGCATGTGTTCAGAGCTGCTTATCGTGTGCTGTCCTGGGGTTAAAGGATGGATACTTTAGGAAATTCTTCAGTCCCAGTGAGAGCAGCAGGGTGAAGAAACGGGGTCACAGTCCTATCATCCTTCAGAATATCTTTGGCATCCATGGAGCTTGTATAGTAAAAAACGGCTTCTGCCACATGCTCTGGAAACAGTACACGGTCAGCCTATTCTGCATGTTGTCTGAAGGTTAAAATCTTTTCTATTGAGCTTTAAAAAAAATTTCACTTCTCCATTCTAATCACCAGTGCTTTTTCCAAGTATTCATTTGTCCTTTTCAGTCTCCGAATTTCTAAGTGGCCTTAATCACAACCTTACATAGGAATGATGTTTCATCATTATTTCAGTGGACCGTCAAATAACTTTGTGGCTGATGAATGAGAACAGCAGGAGAGCGTTAAACATCTGTTTCGGTAGATTGCTCCTGGATAGCCCAGAGGCAAGCATTGTGTCAGGGGCAGCGTGGATGAACTTCATGACTAAATCCCCCCAAACTTTTGGTAATAAGTGCTGCTTCCCACTTTTGGGCGTGGACACTTTCAATACTGAGAGGTGAGTTTAGTCACTCTTTAGTCAAGCTGCTGTAACATGAAGTCATATCCACCGAGGAACACAAAGAGAAGCAGTTTCACCCCCCTTTTTTCATTTTTTAACACCAGTCTGCGACATTAAAGAACATAAGAAAGGTTACATATTAGAGGGGCTGCTTGGCCCATCTAGGGTTTTTAGTAGCTGATTGATCAAGGATCTCATCCTTCTGTTTCCTTAAAGAAGCAATTAAAAAGTTTTGGAGAGCACCTTTTTGTGCCTCATGTTCAAAATGGCCGATTGTTTTTGTTCTACCCATCTGGTTCGGAATCGTCAACTGAGTATTTTTCACATCCTGGTTCTTGGCTCTAATCTTTGTGACTGCAAGCAGGGGTGAGTAAGTCCACCCACTTTTCAGCCCCTGAAATTTTAACCTGTTTCTGGCAATACATCCCTGTACGGGAGAGGTTCGGAGCTGACTGGAGACGAGACCCATCTCTCATCAAAACCACCGCATATCTGCAAGGGTCTGGGAGGCAGTGGGGGTCACTGTGTCACTAAAGGATGAGAGGACTAATCTTTTGTACTGATCTGGTCTTTTCGAGATTCTTTATCTGTTTTCTATCCCTTAACCACTTGTCAGTCCAAGGGTGTGCATTTCCTTGAATGAGGAACTTGAGAATGATTTTTTTTTTAAATGAGGAACTTTTTGAAAATGAATTTATCATGAACTCTGTTGATTACTGCTGTTGCAAGTTCACATAACTGTACCAGCGTAAACAGGATGTGCCCTCTCTAAATCCATGTTCTTAGAATCCAGTTGACATAGAGATGATAGTCTAGCCTAGTTCCAGCTTTCTTCTCCATAACCTTACAAGTAGTAGAAATAAGACTTGCTGATCTATGTGGACTTGGTTCTGTTATGTCACCCTTGTTCTGGGTGGACACTACACCAACAGTTCTCCAGTGCCTGGGTACTGAATACCCGGCCTTGATGTCTGCTGAAAGGACTGGTTCCTGCCTATTGCTGCAAAGAGTCAGTGCTGCTTGACAATACGTCAGGGACAGAATATTCCCGTCACACGGCAGCTGGGACCATTGTGCGTTTCTCTCTGTGCTGCAGAGCATTATTTTTTGCTTCACTGGTGCAATTCATTTAAGCTTTTAAAAAATAGAAATACTGAAATAAGCATCACCTTCATTGCACGAGAGTCTTAATTTCCATTCCTCACTATTGCACTCTGCACCATCATTTACAGGTCATTCATATCACTTTGGTGCCATTGCCCACTTTAGGGAGCTGATGTTCTTAATGCCTTCCTATGTAGCTATTTTATGTATCAAAATTAAGAAAGCCACTTGCTAGGTATCTTCAGCTTCAGTGCAATAACGAGCACACACTGAGTGCATATGTTCTCTCCTTTGAATTTGCCTCTTTCCTTCACAAAGACATTCCTTAAGCATTGTAGAGCGTCTGGTTTGTCAGACTGGTGAGCAGAAGCCTGTTAAAGTACGTTGAACCTGGAAGATGTGCTTGTCTTGTAATCCCAGTTTTTTCATCCCCCCCTGGCAGGGAGCTGTACGAGCCGCAAAGGGCTGAACGGCGCATGCTCAGTCCATGAGTACACGGGTGGCTTCATGGGACAGACCGTCCGCTTCAGGATGACCTCCGTCTGCGGTCATGTCATGACCCTGGATTTCATAGGTAGTCGTTTCGAGCTTGCTGGTTGGGTTTGTCTTTGCAACATGCAGCAGGTCTCTCAATTGCACGTCCAGCCGTGTAGAATACGGGCTGCTCAGGTGCTCCCTTTGACTGTGGCTCAGCCCTGATGTCGCTGGTCGCTCACGCTCAGGTGAACCCCGCAGGGGCTGCGTTGGGGTGGAGTCAGTCAGGAGCTCAGTTGGCCCTCCAGCAGTGACTCCTGGGATCTGCAGTGTTGGGAGAGCTAGAGTCACGCCACTCCTGCTCTGATGCTCCCTCTCCCGCTCACTGTGGAGCCCGCAGCACGTTGAATAACGAGTACCCCAGAACAACAGACAGGCCAGGAGGAGGGCCTGTGTGCAAATCGTTTACAAAAACGAAACAAAACAGCAGGTCGCTCCAAATTGTGCGGCTGCAAACTAGAAAGTAAAATGATGACTCCAAATGTTTTAAATGTGACAAACAATGCAAGATGGATATTTCCATAGATGAAGGAATTGATCTTGTAGGTTTAATTGTGTCATAATGCTACAGACAAAATCGGCCTTTTCCTCAACCCATTTTTTTGTCCCGTTATTAAACTGTATAAGGGTTTTTTTACTTGCAAATATCTAAGGTGCTATAAGCCGTCTACTGCTGTGCCACCTTTGTGAATCACAGTCTGTAACGTGGTTTATTGCTCACGAGTAAAAGTGTGTCAGTGCTGCATTTAATTGAATTCCTGAATCTTCCAAATATCACTTAATTTTTTAAACAAAATTCTAAAACAAATCCGCAGGGAAATATAACAACTGGGATAAGGTAGACCCTGCCGAACTTTTCAGCAAAGCTCCCACAGAAAAGAAAGAAGCCAACCCCAAACTCAACATGGTCAAGTTCTTACAGGTAACTGTCCAGATAAGAATACATTGTTTTCCAAGTCTTGCTGTACTGGACTGATCTCAGACAAGGGAACAGTGCTGGTCATTAACTGAATGAGCTCTGTGTCCATAATAGATCCTGCAGCTTAGTCATCACTTTTAATTAATTGATTATTCATTAGTGTATGTCTTTCTCTTTGGTTTTATTTTTGACCTGAAATGATGTGTCATGAAAGTAACAATGTTATAGCTTTGGCTCTTCTTAATGTCAACGTGGAAGATTTAGTCAGATGAGGTTTATGAATATAAAGTTAATGGACACTATTTAATTGAACCAGTATTTTAAAATATTAATCTTTAATATTTAAAGATTTGAATATTGCATTTTTATTTTGCGGTTACAGGAACTTAACTGGTGACAGTAGGGGACAGATCTCCTTTCTTCACACATGGAATGTCAGTCTTGATTTCATGTTTTTCTTATTAGGTTGAGGCAAAAGGATGTGACAGTGTTGTCCTGTGGCTGGACTGTGACAAGGAAGGTGAAAACATCTGTTTTGAGGTATGGACCTGTGACGGGCAGGTGTTGCACACAAAGGAGATGGAAATTGGCAGTGAAGTCATGGTGACAAAAATATCTAACTGCATTTTTCGGTTAGAGTGTTTCTATGGATTTCTTTTCAATGCAAAACCAGAAAAAAATGAACCACCTGAAAAGGTCTTTGTTGCTAGTTTGTACATTCTGAGTTCTTACATTCCCAGTTTACTTTCAGACTTCTTTGCAGTTTGTGAGCTCCAATCTGGCTGATTGGGTCTGGTTTCCCTTTTAAGAGCTTGATTTCAGTTTCCGGCGATACGGTGAAGCTTCTGTCTGGATCGCTCTGTTAACATGCAGGTTCTGGATAATAATAATAACAATAATAATAATAATAAAGAACTATTTTATACAGCGCCTTTAAAGGTGGCTTCTCAAAGCGCTTTACAGAATGACAACAACAATAAATAAAAAGAATACTCAAGATAAAACACAATTTCAATATACAGAGGAGACCGTGGATGGTGGTACTAAGAAAAGCAGAGGGGTGAAGAATAGAACAGTTCAGTAAAGGCTCCTCTAAAGAAGAGGGTTTTGAGTCTGGATTTGAAGGAGTTTAGAGAAGGTGACTCTGATATCCTTGGGGAGAGAGTTCCAGAGCTTGGGGGCATAACAGGAGAAGGCTGTTATGGATCTTAGTGGCAAAGACTCAGTGCTGCTTGACAATAAGACAGAGACAGAATATTCCCATCACACAACAGCTGGGACCATTTCTCATGGCTCTCTGTGTTGCAGAACATTTTTTTCTTGCTACTTCGGTAAGCGCCTGCAGCTTTTAGAAAAAAGAAATACTGACATAAGCATCACCGCCGTTGCACGAGTCTTAATTTCCATTCCTCACTATTGCACTTTGCACAATCATTTACAGGGCATTCTTATCACTTTGGTGCCATTGCCCACTTTGGAGGACTGATGTTCTTCATGCCTTCCTGTGTAGCCCTTTCTATATGAAAACTAAGAAGGTTTTCCACCTGCTAGTTATCTTCAGCATCAATACCTAAACAAGTTCAGATTGAGTGCATATGTTCTTTCCTTTGAATTTGCCTCTTTCCTTCACAAAGTCATTCATTAGGGGTGGAGCGGTGGCCCTGTGGCTCAGGATCTGTGCCTGTGGCTGGGAGGTTGCTGGTTCAAATCCCGTGGCCGGCAGAGGAATCCTACTCCGGTGGGCACCTGAGCAAGGCCGTTAACCCCACCTGCTCCAGGGGTGCCGTATAAGTGGCTGACCCTGCGCTCTGACCCCCAGCTTCCCTCTCCCTGTCTGTGTGTCTCATGGAGAGCAAGCTGGGGTATTCGGAAATACAAATTCCTAATGCAAGAAATTGCCAATAAAGTGATCTTATTAAGCTTTGTAGAGCATCAGGTTTGTCTGACTGGCGAACATTGGTCACTCTTTCCTATGAGCAGCTCCTCCTGGTTTTACCAGCCCAGCCAGTCACAATTAATGGCTTTTAATCCCCTCCCGGGCACGTAGCACTTTGAGGGTGATGATCGTGAAGTCGGGGGCTGGGCTCGGGGTTCTCGGGGTCCGTCGCTGTAGCTGAGCGTTGTTCTGTTTACGGGCAGGTGCTGGACGCCATCACGCCGGTCATGAACAAGCCTTACGGGGGAGAGAAGACCGTGCACCGGGCCAAGTTCAGCTCCATCACAGACACGGACATCTGGAACGCTATGAACCGCCTGGGGGAGCCCAATCGGAACGAAGCCCTGTCCGTAGACGCCCGCCAGGAGCTGGACTTGAGGATCGGCTGTGCTTTCACGAGGTACCCCCCACTCCTCCGCTGCCCTTCGATGAGATGGGCAAGTCGGAACGGTGTACCCCCAGCCCCGGCTGTGGAACCTTAAACCAGCTCTGTGACAGGGATAAGCAAGGTCCTGGAATATCGGATGGACCTTGAAGGGACAGCTGGAGTCTTATTCTGCTGAAAGGGTCAGCGCTTTTCTGGTTTTAGGTGAAATAATACGTTTTAAATTGAACCTCCCTCAGGAATGATTTGCTAAGACCTGTTTGGCCTGCATTGAAAGCAAGTGTTATAGTTTGTGTGTACCTCTTAGAAATGTATTGTTGGGGACTGAAGCCCAAAGCCTTTTGTTGGTTGGGTTTAAATTAGTCCCCCCGTTGGGCATAATTGCATTCATAGCTGGGTATTGAGTGGGATTTAGCATCTTTACAGATCTTCTGCTTTATTAAACTTTTACATGCCCGTTTCAAAGATTTAGTTCTGTCATCCTAAAACAGTTTCCCTGGAAAATCCTTGTGGTGATTCACATCTTTTTTTAAACGAGACTTGGCCTCTAGAAAATAAACGCGTACCCACATGTATTAGGAAATTGGAGAGAGACTTCAAGTATGAAAGTTGGTAAGCGACCGTGACAGGGTGTAGGTGTTTTTCCATACTTCACAGTGTTAGGCGGGCGTGGAGAAGTTCATTCATGAGGCAGAGGTGCTGTAACAAGTAACAAGGGTGGGAGGAATGATGCAGGTTGCAGGAAGTGTTTATGCTCTTTCCTAGAAGAAAGCCTTGTGTGTCTTCCAGGTGCTGGCGCAGTTGGCAGGTTGGAAATCAACTTAGGCATGCTTTTCCCAGTATCACTCCTGAGTGCTGCAATTGCCTTTGTGTGCCTTACCAGTACATTTGGGTTTTAGGTTTCAGACTAAATATTTCCAAGGAAAATATGGCAATCTGGACTCCTCTCTGATCTCCTTTGGCCCCTGCCAAACCCCCACCCTTGGTTTCTGTGTGGAGCGTCACGACAAGATACAGTCTTTTAAGCCAGAGCTCTACTGGGTGCTACAAGCCAAGGTTAGTACAGACAGCACTTATTTTATTTTCATCAGACTGTTCCAGCAGCCAT